CCCCAAAACCCCAAAACCCCAAAACCCCTGCATATATAATTGGTCTAATTTGAGGTAGAAATTAAAATATAAAATGAATAGAAAGCTTATTTAAGAGACAAAGAAATTACTTATTCACATCCACAAATTCAACCTCTTAACATGCAATAAATAGCTTGTAGTAAAACAGGGCAAAGTAATATAGGATAATTATATAAGGCTCATTAATTAATCAACTCTATGTCAAACGAATAAAAGAGAATTTGCGTTTATTAATGATTAAGTGAAAAGATCAAGTAAGCATGAATTAGATTACAGTGAGAGCCCCGCAAGCAATAACTATTAGTCAGCCAACAATATATTCTTGAAGTACAATAGGAAAAACTTTAACAATATAAAATAAAGTCCTGCTAGTATCACATATGTTCAGAATAAGTCACTTATCACATAAATATAGTAAGAGACGTAAGAGACTGAGGAAATGATTGGACATTTAGATTAGCAAGAAGAAAAAATGAAAAAATTTAATCAGCAATTGACATTCGAAGAGCTTAAATTAAAGACTTTTTAGGAACTAGTTGCAGATGTCAATGAGATTAAAAACTATATGAACACAGAGATATAAATTGATAGTGCTGATGACTTACTCAGATATTATAAAAATTTCTATCGACCACAAGAAAACCCTGACCACATACTTATAATGACCACTCAAATTATTGTGCTTTCAGCCTACTATTAGGATTTCAAGCTTTTCTCTGAATCACAATTATACTAAAAACTACTTCATGATGTCAAAAAGTATCTGTAATATAGTCAAAGTGTCGATCCAAATTACCTAGCAGTCTGTTTAAAATTCATGAAAGATGTGGTGTTTCCAATAACTAATATGTCTTATCTTTCAGAAAATGTATATAAACAGAGAAACCTATTCAATGAGATTATAAACTTAATTATTAGTAGGGCTAGCAAGGATTTAAATTTGTTGAATATTGGGCAGATATCATACATTTCTCGTAATCTTCAAATACAGTATAAGAAAAAGCCGATGTTTGTAGAAAAAGAAGTAGACGAAATAAGAGTTGAATTTAATGAGAAAGTGGATTAATATCTGATACACAAATACAAGAATAATGAGAGAATAGACAAAATCAATGGCATAAGATTACTCATCGGATAGTCAAATAATAATATGATGGATAGAGATGCCTGTATTGCTGTTGAAAGCTTGCTTTATGACTCTCTTCTAGAATTAAAATAGGAAAATCCCAGCCAACCAATATTGTCGAGATAAGAATTTTTAGATATAGTGAACGCATTTACTCGTAGGAAGTCTTATAACAAGGATCTCTGGATATTATCTCTTAAATAACTTAGCTTCTTTTTTAAAAGCCAGGAAATGCGTTTGTCAGACCTGACCATATTGACTTATAATCTATACGTGATGAAACTCTACTCTCCCAAGTTATACTAAATGATTGTAGATTACTTTCTCAAGCAAAGGTATTCAGAAACTGAAATGTGCGAGTTAAGGCCTGTAATGGTAGTTAACTTTATACTGTCCATGTCGTACATGCATAAAACTCTAGAGAACGACGAGTTTTTCAAAGTAGTACGAGCCTATATAATAAATAATCTAGATTCATTCAATAAACTCTTGCTGACTAAACTGCTGGATGTTTTCAAATACAATTAAAAATTTTCACTCATTAATCAAAATTTGAAGCTACTGTTGGAAAAAGAACTTGAGAAAAAAGTTGAATAGAAAATTAGTGAAAGTGAAGAAGAAGAATTTAAAATGCTAAGATAAGATCTAAGCAACTTAAGCTGAGCTTAATTGTATCATGAAAACTTTGCAAGTTAATATAAGAGTTATCAATGATTATTAATTACCTAATGAAAAGATTGCGCATTTACTTTCAGTGGAGTAGCTTACTAATGTTAATTAACTGTATTAATTTTAATTAAGATTATTATTAATTAGAACTGCTCCAGTTTAAACACCTTCACAACTTGAATCTCTTACTCGGTTTATTGTCATGATTAACATAAATACTATTAGTATTTTCCAGCTTAGACCTCTTTTTGCTTTCTTTCTTAGCAGCATCACTTTTGACTACCTCGTCCATTCTCTTGAAGAACTTAGAACTCTTCATCTCATTCTTGTTTCCGCCCTTGCTCTTGCTGTCCTTCTCATCAACTGCGCCCTCCTTCATCTTCTTCTTCTTGTCCTGCTTTCTCTTGATGTCCTTCATAGCGAATCTGTCAACCAGCATTCCCACACCCATCTCTCTTTTCTTTTCCTTCTAGACCAATTCTTTCTTGTGCAAGTGGGTCTTGATCTTTCTCTTTCTAGTTGCTCTCTCCTTCCTGCGTTCTTCCTTCGTCAATTCAGTTTTCTCTCTCAACTTCTGATCGTGAATTGAGAAGGTCTCTCTTGCTGACTTAGTCTAAGCTTGTGAGATTTAAATTGGCAGAGACTCCTCTATCATCAATGCAGGCACGTTTTAAGTCGAAATTGTAGCCTCCTTGATCTAGGATACTCTAGGGACATAGTTGAAGTTGCTGAGTTAGTCTAGTTAGTTGAACAGATTTCTCATCAGCTCGCTTATTTCCTTTTTAAGTGTAGAATCCGCACCTGATAAAATGTCACTGCCTCTCAAAAAGCTATTGGGGTCATCACTGCTCTGTACAAGTTTTTTCCTATAGTCATCTTCATACTACTCTCCAAGGCCTCTCTTGCTCTTAGTGAAGTCCATCTGATCCTCATCATCTCCTTCCTTTCTGCCTTTAATATACTTTCTGATTGGATCATCAAATAGTTCATCCATAATACGTTGCTTTATTACAGCCTCCAAGCCATTAGTCTTTTCCTGAGTAATCTGAGGGGGTAGCTTACTTGCTACATTGAAGTCTAAATGCACCTCAAGCAAACTATTCATAGGTCTCTCTTTGGCTTAGATTTCTCCAAGTAAATGCCAGGACTTAGAGCCAATCATCTAATCCTCAATCTTCTGAATACGGGAAAGCATCTCTTTATTTGTGAATTCAGTGTTCTTTGGCTCCTCTTTAGCATACTTCAAGAGATCCATTTCATCTCTATCGTTTGCCTCCTAGAACACATTATCTTCATTTGCAAAATCATCACCCATTTCATCCTTAAACTGATCAAACTCTTCTCCCTCATCGTCCAGTTTAGCATCATCTCCAAACTCGTCTTCATCATCATCTTCTAAGTCAGATGGAATCTTGATTTGATCTTTCATTTCCTCTTCTTCGTCCTAGTCATCTAAATACCTTTCCAACTCCTCATCCTCGTCTTCATCCTATTCAAACTCCTCATCGAACTTGTCATCATCTTCGTTATCTCCTTCATCTTCCTTCATTTCACCATCCATATCGTCTTCTCCTTCCTCATCGATATCTTCATCACTTTACTCATTATTCTCCTAGCTAGTTTAATCGTTGCTGTCCTCCTCATCATCTTCGTTAGTTGAAGTATTACCTATTTCTTATGCCAACTCCTTCAAAAACTCCTCACTACTCACTAGATTGCTTAATTTTTGGATGACCTGTTAGTTAGTCTTTTCAGTGTGATGTACTATCTAAGACCATACTTAATCTAACCCAAAACCTTCAAATACTATCTTAGGAGTCTGCTATGTTTTGCTATTTTGAGACTTTTTCAATTCTATACATTGCTCATAAATAAATATTCAATTGATTACAACTTTAGAACATTGACTGAAGCACTCCATATATTTGAGCTTTGCATTGGGACTCATCTAGGAACATAAATGCTGGGTCTTTTAAGAGCTATAATATATTATTTGATTATTGATGGTAACTACCTTATTGATAAGCGACTGAGCTAAAGTGATTTCTTCCATTGATAATTAATAAATAAATATACTTTCATTATTTACTTCCCATGCATATACAATATGCAATTGATCCTGGGGTTTTGGGGTTTTGGGGTTTTGGGG